ACTGGAAAATAGAGGGAGAAACCGTGGAGGCCGTGACAGACTTTGTATTTCTAGGTGCAAAGATTACTGCAGATGCAGACTGTAGCCAGGAAATCAGAAGACGCTTACTTCTTGGGAGGAGAGCAATGTCCAGTCTCGATAAAATAAGTAGAGACATCAGACTGGCAACAAAGATCCGCCTAGTCAAAGCCATGGTATTCCCTGTAGTAACCTACGGATGTGAGAGCTGGACCTTAGGGAAGGCTGAGCGAAGGAAGATCGATGCTTTTGAGCTGTGGTGTTGGAGGAAAGTGCTGAGAGTGCCTTGGACTGCGAGAAGATCCAACCAGTCCATCCTCCAGGAAATAAAGCCCGACTGCTCACTTGAGGGAAGGAGACGAGAGGGAAAGCGGAAGTCCTTTGAATGCCACATCATGAGGAGACAGGAAAGCCTAGAGAAGACAATTATGCTGGGGAAAGTGGAAGGCAAAAGGAAGAGGGGCCGACCAAGGGCAAGATGGATGGATGGCATCCTTGAAGTGACTGGACTGACCTTGAGTGAGCTGGGGGTGGTAACGGCCGACAGGGAGCTCTGGCGTGGGCTGGTCCATGAGGTCACGAAGAGTCGGAGACGACTGAACGAATGAACAACAACAACGGATCCTTCATAAGACAATTGTGTTACCATTCATCGGGAGGATCCAGTCTATCATCAAAGGTTTGAATCAGGATGATGAATTCTTATCCAACTAGACATGTTAATTGGCTTACCCAGTATCAATATGTGTTGGTGGCAACTGTATTTGAATAGACAATGTCAGTAACGTAAACCTAATTGTCAGTATTTTCTTCAGTCTTCCTTTGCCCTTACTGTCAATACTGTAGACACTATAGTCCACTACATACACAACTTAGCTAACAAAGCATCTGGCAAGGAAGCTCCCTTTTCAAAATCTTTTGAAAATGCTTTAGATATGTGGTCCCACCTGGCAGAAGATTTGACTAAATGGTTCTTGCAGTTCCTTCTGACTCTCATGATTCTGTGATGGAGATTCCAAAATAAATATTGTTGGAGGTACTTCCGTTCTGCTGGTCATTGAGTGGGATGGACGCAGTCATCAAGACACAGCTACATCATGTCTCGTGTATTACATAGGACAACCCAAGGAAGTCTCAATGGCAGATCAGGCGGATGAAGGTTATAGCAGACAAGAGGCTACCCACCTATCATTGCGGTGGGTACCTCCGCATTGGATTAGAACCTCTTTCGGTGATGATTTTGTGTTGGGTACTGTATACCAGGCCCCATATATAAAACAAATCCATGCACAGGCATATTCCAATCAAACCAAAATCAACCTGTCCGAATTCATCTTCTTTTATGAGCCAACTAGAGCTTTAAGATTTGCTGGGGAGGCCCTGCTTTCAGTCCCACCCCCTTTGCAAGCAAAATTGGTGGGGAGAGACAGGGCCTTCCCTTGGCCGTGGAACTCCCTTCCAAGTGAAATTAGATTGGCTCCATCCCTCCTAGTCTTCGGGAAAAAATTTAAAGACCTGGCTTTGTGCACAAGCATTTGGAGAATAGGGTAAGGGAATTTGATTTTAACCTTGCAGTCCAAATAATGTCCATGGCAAAACTTGAAATTTGGAAAGTATGACTCAGCACTTTATATGTTTTAATCTGTTTTATTGGTTTATGTTTTTAACCATATATATGCTTTAATTTAACCATATATATATATAATATAACCATATATATGCTTTAATTTTAAACCACTTTGAGTCCCCCTAGGGGTGAGAAAAGCAGTATATAAATACTCTAAATAAATAAAATAAATCAATTAATTGTTTTACAATTTAATGTAGTATGTATGTTTCTGTTCTGTGTACGATGCAGCATTGCAGTTTTGTAAAACTTCTCAGAGTCCCCTTTGGGGTGAGAAGGGTGGGGTATGAATAAAGAAAAAAAAAGTCCCATGGTGATCGGCAAGTGGTAACGGGGGTAGGATTGTGAAATCCAGAAGCCCCTTGCTACAGATCGGCCCATGGATGGTGGATATGGATTCAGTCATTCTAACTTACCACCAAGACTCTATCTTTGGAAGAGTGATCAATTATAATTGCTAGAGGCACTTGAAAAGCAAAGACATTCTATCCATGTTTATACATCCATATTGATCATGACATATTTATTTGTATGACTCAAAAGCTTAGCATTCACCTCCATTTTGAATATCAGCTCTTGAAATAGCTCTGGGGCTACAGCTCTCAGATTTAGAGGCTTTGGGGCTACAGCTTCCACAGTTTCCCAGCAATCATAGACATTGGCCACGATGGCTATTGGGTTCTGAGAGCTGCAATCCAAAGAAATAACATTCCCAGACCCCGTGTAACTTATCATTTCTTTGGATCCATTCAGTTTTACAAAACAGTAATACATAAATCGGTTCTGAGAGGCACTTGAAGGCATGGAACGTGGGAAGACAAAGTACTAGACATATCACTCTTGCACACATGCTGCTCCAGAGATGGAGCACACTGGCAACTTTTCGAAGACAAAGACATTTGATTTATGATCTGAGTATTAAAATAAGGCTTCAGTCCTGAGCACTTTTATTTGAAAGTTAACATCATCAAACTCAGTAGGTCTTTACATCAGGACCAAAGTGTTAAAGTGAAAATAATTTCTCAGAAATTTAACATATCAAACCTTTTTTGTAGTAATTGGAATTTGCCCCTCTTCCTAACATTTTTCCTGTGCTTCTTCTCCCCCTCCTTTAATAACAACATGAAACTTATAAAGCATGCCTGAAGGTAGTTTTATTTTAACTCACTAACATCATAAAAGCTGTAGATCACTGACAGCCCTCTCCCCAAACTTCTATCTTTAAAAAACATTTTCAGCCCTTATGCTAACAAAGAAGAGGTGGAAAGGGGGATACTAGCATAGTATGTAATTCACAGGTTGGTTGGATGGAAATGAAACTGCAAAGTTCCCAGGTTTTTGTTTTTCTTTTAAATCCACTTTTATTTTAGGGATCAGCTAAGGATTTTGTACAAGTGGATTAGCCATACCAAAAACTCTGCTCTACTGAAGATAGATGCCAGGTGAAAGGGGATTTGTTACACTTTCTAGCAAGCCTGAGCTTGTATTCTGACAATTAAACATTGAACAAAGAGGTGTGAGTCACAAGGACTGGGAAGTAGACCAAGTTGAAAAGGTTTTTACTCTTCAATTTGGAGCAGATCGTCCAGACAGCAAGTGCAACTTAGCAATTCCTTATCCTACCGTCACACAGCTTGAAGGTGTTGAGCCACCAAAACAAAGCATCCTTAGCAAGCATTTTCATTGCTAGAATGAAAAGCGTGCCATTAGCTCATGATCTCCAAACAATAAAAAATGTTGTAGCTTTGAAAATGCTTCCGTAACTGCACAAATGCCACTGAAGAAAGAAAGCATTTCAACACATTTTGGTCTTTTAGCTACCATGTTAACACTGGACATACTAATATTGTAAAACTAATGTGCAATTTATTTTAATATTTCTATCATGAAACATTTCTACTGCAGAAGGCCAATTAGCAAAATCCCCAAACCACCAAAGGATCTTTTGGCATCACCTATTAATTCAGAGATTTCCCACATGGAAACTTGTAGCCGAGTGGAGACACTGCAATTCCCATCATCCCTTACAATTAAAACTGGCAGGCTAGTTGTCGAATTCTGGTCCAGATACATAAGACCAAGTATACTAATGCTCTTTGTTTTCTAATTCACTAACATACTAATAATAATGCACAGTATCTTCTATGTCTAGAATCCCTTCCACACTGCCCTATATCCCAGAATAATAGAATCAGAGTTGGAAGCGGCCTCGTGGGCCGTCTAGTCCAACCCCTTGCCAAGAAGCAGGAAAATCGAATTCAAAGTGATAATCTGATCCCAGATTATCTGTTTATTCAATTATATGGCAGTGGAGACTAATATAATCCAGTTCAAAGCAGATAATCTGGGATCAGATCCTAGAATATAAGGACAGTGTAGAAAGGGCCTAGGCCTTAGTGATTTTGTCTCAGTCCTACTTTTCCCAGCTCTGTCATGTCTTTATCTCAACAACAACAACAACAACGAAACAACAACTACAACTATTTTATTCTTATATCCTGACACCACCTCCCAAGGGGACTCGGGGGGGGGGGGGGCTTACATGGGGACCAAGTCCAACAAAAACAGAATAAAATATAGCGCAATCAAAATACTTTGTATTTCAATAATTAAAAGAAGAAAACTGAACATCAGACATCATAAAAACATACAAACATCAATAACCATCAACAATTAGCCAAGAACAGTGGGCGTGTTCAGATCTAGGAGGGCAGGGCAAGGGCTAGTGCACTCATTGTTTCTTCAGGCTTTTGATTTTTTGAGACTCGCTTTTTAGGTATGTCTTGGAATTGGCATTCCCAGTTCTTCCCCTTTCACATAGTCCTTACTTGATGATTTTAGTGGTGCTTCTTCACAGCCCTCTGTTAATTCAGATGGCTTGTCTTCCCTTTTTTTCAAATTTCATTTTCACATATTTTTCACTAGGGCCCCTTCTACACTGCCATATAAAATCCAGATTGTCTGCTTTAAACTGGATTTTATAGCAGTGTAGACTCATACAATCCAGTTCAAAGCAGATTATCTGGATTATCTGGCAGTGTAAGAGGGGCCTAGGTCTTACCTCCTACTCTGCTCACAATTGCTCTTGGCCCCTCCACTCAGCATCTTCTACTGTCCCAGATTCAGATTTCTTCTATACCTATTTTTACACACCAACTAACATGCTAAATTTCCCTTGCTTCAACTAAGTGTGCCAAATACTCTACCACTATACATGCCCAGTAAATATAGATAGAAATGCTGTGTCTTACAATCCTCAAAAGATAAGTTAAAGATTTCATTACGAAAATGTCTGTGTCAAACATTTATGATTTAAGAATACAAATCCCACAGCTGTATAATAAACAAGTCCCACAGCTGTATAATAGTTTTATTTCTTATAAAGGAAATACATCAGGTTATGAAACCTTAATAATAAAAGAAGTCATGTTGCTGATAAAAATTTCAAAAAGGACAGTACAAAAATTGCACGAAAGACAGAAAAACAAAAAGCAACAGTGGAGGAAAAAATGCGTAGGCAATCCTTGAAGCAAGTATAACACATAAAAATGTTCTTGTAATGATTACGACCAGAACAGTTCACACAGTCTCTGTCTCTGATTTATGGGCAACCTTCTCGCTGTCATGAAATGAACACTCCACTGTGAAACTGAAAGACCAAGATTGTCCATAAATAAAAACGTAATTTGATCTACCTCAACTAAAGTTTGATAACCTTTCTCATGAACTTGGTAATAAAGTTCTATTATTCTTTGGACAGTCTTTAACAGCAAGTAACAAGACATAATAGTAAGGTATACAAATCATGATCCAGCCAAACATGAGCACTTTTGGTTGACATTAATGTCAACAGAAGGAATAAATGCTTAATACTCCCACTGAAATCAAGATGAGTACTTAACTATAGAGTCATACATTCCATATTGCACAATATTGCCTTACAGCTAAGTTTTTTTTACATATTTACAGGATACCATGCACATACTACGTGAATATATTTTAAATAAACAATCCCTTTTCAAAAAGCAGCTTCCTTCACAGGATAGAAAGCTGTTTTTTAGGTTTACTGAGACAGCAATCCAAATCTGAATTATAGCCTGGGGAAGATTTAAACAATATATGAAAATTATTACTTAAACTATATACTAAATTGGGTGTACATCAATAAAGGTTTGTTCTCTAACCCTTTCATTGATTTTTTTCTTCCAGTACAAAAAAAGGACCTTCTAAAGGTTACGACACAACATGCTTTCAGAGACCAAACTCATTAAACTGTTACAGCATATTATTCCACTTTAACTGCCAAGGCAGCACCTTATGCAAACCTGGGATTTGCAGTCCTGGGAGGGACATACAGAATTATCAGCCAGTGAGCACTTGAACCTCACTCAACTGCAAACCTTAGAATTTCATGGCAGCTAAAGTGAAAGTTTAGCACTACAGCAGTCCAGTATTTATAGGTCTATGGGCATTGTGTCTATAGGAAAGATTGAGATTTCTGAAAGAGTACCAATATGATGAAGACTCTCATTTGTTAAATGCATAATTAGAAAATTCCAAAAGCATTATGTGGAATAAAAACAAAAAGAGAGTTTGATAGTGTACTAGCTGCCAAACATTTCTTTAAAAAATATAACACTATGATAGGAGTTCTTCATTTTCAGTAAACACTTTAGAAATGCAAGGAAACCAACATAAGCAATAATCATGACCTATAGTACTAAACAAGAGGCAATTTTCTGTTCATTTGATAGACTCCTATGTGGGCATTCGGCTCAATGTAAAACTCTTCACCCGCACAGTCAGCTCGCCATATTTTCATTTGCCTAGAAAGAGTAATTTGATTATAATGGGTTCATTAACAATAGACGAGTAACAGTTACTATAGCAATTTCCATCTAAATAGGTGTGCTATTAGGTTAGATGCAGTGGTGAAAGAATCAGCCCATCAAGACCCAGAGACAAGGTAGTAGAGTGGATTAAGGCCCCTTTTACACTGCCATATAATCCAGATTGTCAAAGCAGATAATCCACATTATCTGATTTGAACTGGATTATATGAGTCTACACTGCCATATAATCCAGATAATCAGATAATCTGGATTTTATATGGCAGTATAGAAGGGGCATTAGAAGTAAACTCCACTGTGATTTCAGTAGCACTGTCTTCCATGTAAACATGTAGAAGGCCAGATATAAAGTTCAAAAGAAAATGTTTTTTTAATTGGAAAGTAATACATTTCCCAGTACTGAATGCCCACAAAAAGGTTATCAGTTAAAATCAGGCATGCCTAAATCCAATTCCTAGTCTTCGTTAGAGTAGACACATTGAACCAGTATGACTTACACAAATACTGAATTCATTAAATCTCTGAATGTATTGCACTAACAGGGATTAAAAACTGGATGTACGCCCTTATCTGCTTGGTTAGTTGTCTCCTTAACTACAGAAAAAGCAATAAAGGATAAAACCGCGCAATGTGAATAAAAGCAGATAACTACAAAGGCATTCATTTTTAAGGACAGTATTTGCTTATACATTAGTGTATTAGAATGCGCAATTGGGGCTTGAAAAGTACAGTGATCAAAATATGAATGGTTTTTTAAAGGAGGATAAACTAATTAGGGTTTTGGAAAGCATCGAGTTCACCAACAGTTTAACACTGTTTATCCTGAATGCATAGCATGGATTCTTCTGCTTCTCCATATATTTAGTATACCTTCAGAGTTTCCGCAGCTTTGCGCAGTTCCTTAATTACAGCAGACAATGCCTCTGGGTTGATTCCTTGTTCACAAAGTCTTACACAAATAGAAAGGGTTTCCATATCTAGCCCAGTGTTTAGTATTCTTGATATTTCAAGCAGCACTGAAAATGATATAGAAATGACAATTGTTTAAGTTAGGATACCAATAATTGCTTGCACATATCAATAAACTTTCAAATGCATCTTGACAAAAAGGGAAAGGTGATTTCACAGTTAGCAGAAAACTATAAGATACATGATTTGTTTATAGCCTGTAATGAAAGGACCAAGACATTGAGATCTCCAGCCCATCCTCTGTTCGGATATCAGCCAGCAAGCCAATGCCTTAAATCAAGAAATAGCTTCCTAATATCTACAGAGATACTTTCAGGAACACTTCAGCAAGCAGGAGTCCAAAAGTGGCAGGCTAAAACCTGGAACCTCAATCAGTGGCTGAGACTGGATGAGATTAGGTGACCTGGACGGTACTGAACAAGCCGCATTCTGGCACCACAAGATACAGAGCTAACCTTAAGAAATCGGGCTAGAAAGTGGAGTCCAAAGCATGTGAGTGTGGAGAAGAGCAAACCACAGACCACCTGTTACAATGCAACTTGAAGTCTGCCACATGCACAATGGAGGACCTTCTCACAGCGACACCAGAAACACTCCAAGTGGCCAGCTTCAAAGGACATTTAGCATACTGCCAAGTTTTTAACTTGTTTTTGTTTTTAAATACATTATAACTGCATCCTTAGTTTGCTTCTGACATGCTAAATAAATAAATAAGATTAGTTTGTAATAATGATTGTTAGGATGTGAAAAACCAATCTGACATATACAGAATGCTTAAAAAAAGATAGATTCGATTTGAAATTGCTGTAACTCTGCAGCGATGTCCCTGAGATAAACTCTTATAACTTGAAAGGGTGAGGCATAGATTACCACTAGATACCTCTCCTACTGAAAAAACAGCCTCTAGCCTTAGTAATTCATAAAACAAGAACATAAAATATGTTATGTTGCAGGGTCACCTTGTGCATGACTGAGGGGCTGTTTGTGGACTATAAGAGGCATCTAGTGGTAATCCTTTGAAACTCTAAGCCTCACCCTTTCAAGTGATAACAGTTCATAGACGGTTTGTGGTTGAAGAGATTTGTACTTCCAAATTGGGTCCATCTTTCTGAAACACCCTGTATAATTTTTCTCAACCAGTCCTAAATCAGCCTTGATGCGTCAACCTGTTCTGGATGGGATTACACTCCCCCTGAAAGACTGTGTACATAGCTTGGGAGTGCTCTTGGATCTGTCTATCCAGATGTCAGCCCAGGTAGATGCAACTGTCAGGAGTGCTTATTACCAGCTTCAGCTGATACTTTAGCTATGCCCCTTCCAAGATTTGAGGGACCTGAAGATGGTAGTTCTGATGTTGGTACCCTCTAGGTTGGACTTCTGCAATGCACTGTACATTGGGTTACCTCTATACCAAGTACAGAAACTCCAATTGGTTCAAAGCATGGCAGCTTGACTAGTTACAGGAACACCTAGCATTTTACACCCACTGATTGACAGACAAAGTACTGATTTTGACCTTTAAAGCCCTGCATGGTTTATATCCAGGTAACCTACAGGATTGCCTTCTCGATACAATTTGCCCTTTAGGACACTCTGGTCCTCTGGGGGTCATCTATTCCAACCAGCCAGAACCTGACTGGCAACCGTCACCCAGAGGACATTTTCATCGGCTGCCACACAACTGTGGAACGATCTGCCAGAAGAGAATCACCAGCTAAACCAGTTGTCAGAATATGAAACACAACAAAAGAACCATCTCTTTCAGCAAGGCCTACCCAGATTGAATCATGTGTTTTGGTGTATGTATTTTATAAACGGTATGTTTTTATATATGTCTTGTATGTTGATGTATTTTGACTGTATTGTACCCCATCCAATAGCTGTAAGGAGAGGTGGCCAGCAAATAAAATTTATTAATATTATTGTTGTCATTATTATTAATATTAATAATAGGGGCTGCAGTGGCACAATGGGTTTAAACCCTTCTGCTGCTGAATTGCTGACCTGAAAGTCGGCAGTTCGAATACGTGGAATGGGGTGAGCGCCCGCTGTTAGCCCTAGCTCCTGTCAACCTAGCAGTTTGAAAATATGCAATTGTGAGTAGGTAAATAGGTACCACTTCAGCGGGAAAAAGGCAAAAGATGCTCTAATCAGTCTTGCCAGCCACACGACCTGGAGGTAACAACGCAGGTTCCTTGACCTGAAAATGGGAAAGAACATCTCCCCCAGAGCCAGAGATGAGCACCGCCTCCAGAAGCCAGAAATGAAAAAGGAAAAGCTTTTGCCTTTTCTGTATTCATGCGTGTCATTGTATGTTATTGTAAGGCATTGAATGTTTGCCTGTATCTGCTGTAAATGCTGTAATCCGCTCTGAGTCTCCTAGGGGAGAAGGGTGGAATATAAATGAAGTGTTATATAATAATAATTATTATATTAAGACAGAGACCCATATGCATTTATCTATCATATATATAAAAGTCAGTCTGTGTGCTTGTTCCACAAAGGCTGTTACTAGGGCCCCTTCCACACAGCTGTATAAAATCTACATTGAACTGGAATATATGATAGTGTGGACTCAGATAATCCAGTTCAAAACAGATATTGCGGATTATCTGCCTTGATATTCTGGGTGATATGGCTGTGTGGAAGGGCCCTAAGTGAAATGGCCCTCTGTAATGTCAGTGGATTGGTTGTTGCTAGGTGAAGGATTGACGGTTTTTGGGTGAGGTGGCCTTCCGTGATTCCCCCCCCCCCGTGTCAGCAGCGACTTGAGAAACTGCAAGTCACTTCTGGTGTGAGAGAATTGGCCGTCTGCAAGGATGTTGCCCAGGAGATGTCTGGATGTGGGAGGCTTCTTTCATGTCCCCACATGAGAAGCTGGAACTGACAGACGGGAGCTCATGCCGCTTCCCAGATTCAAACCACCAACCTTTTGGTCAGCAGTCCTGATGTCACTGGAAAAGAAAGGTGAGTGGAAGGGGCCGGAGAAAGAAAAGAACCAGGAAGAGGGGCATGTTGCCATGGAGACATTGTGAGGTAGGCCTTTTCCTCAGAGCTAGAGAAGGGAAGGAGGAGGCGGGCTGTGGCCCCAAATACATCCAGGTAATATACATTAGCACCATATATTTTTCACTATAGCGCTTCCTTGATTCTATAATTTGCTGATAGACCTGTGCATTGTATGTTTTTGCCGTTTCCCTGTCCACTCCCTCGCCCCCTATTGTGCTTCAGTATTTATATTTGCATTTTAAATGTACTAAATGTACCAAGCTCGTATGAAAATGTGACTTTTATTTCCTGTACTGGTCTATGACTGAAATAAAGGATTTGATTAACTGTAGCAAAACAGTGGCTTTCACTGGGCTTTGTGATCTAAGAAAGCAGCTGCAATGACTGGTAGATTCAAATTGTTGATATTCAAATGGCACTTTGTGACACTGACTTTTAAAAAAACTTCCATCAGAGGGAAAACTCATTTAGCTGATTGTCAGAATCACTGGGGTGTTTTTTTTTTCTATCCATACTACCCGTATTGACACAAGAAGGCACTTTTGCTTCCAAACATTGTCACAGGTCCCAAGTTATCTCTCTTCCCCTATATATATATATATATATATATATATACATACACACACACACACACACACACACACACACACACACACAAGCCGTCCCCTGCCATGTGTTGCTGTAGCCCAGTCTGGTGATCTGGAAAATAAAGTAATGAGAAAGTAATGGTTTCTAATATATGTAATTTCTTTATGCTTGTGGGTAAACAGTATTTCTTGCTGTTTCTTTGTCAGTGAAGATTGTCTTGTTTGCCTACTCTGGAATATGCAACATATAATTGTCCTTCTTTAGGGGTCCCTTTCAAATCTAGGATACTATATCTGTGTGTGTGTGAATCATTTGGCTGATCTATGGCTGAATGGCTCTTTGTCAGGAGGGCTTTGATTACGTTTTCTTGCCCTGGTGAGGGGAGTTGGACTGGATGGCCTTAAGTATGGGGGTTCTGTGTTTTTAGGTGAACTATAAACCACAGTAACTACAACTCCCAAATGTCAAGGTCTATTTCCCCCAAACTCCATCTGTGTCCATACTGTACCAAGTTTGGTCCAGATCCATCATTTTTTGAGTCCACGGTTCTCTCTGGATGTAGGTGAACTACAACTCCACAACCCACCAAACCCTTCCAATATTTTCTGTTGGTCATGGGAGTCCTGTGTGCCAAGTTTGGTTCAATTCCATCATTGGGGGAGTTCAGAATTCTCTTTGATTGTAGGTGAACGATAAACCCCAGCAACTACAATTCCCAAATGACAAAATCGTTTTTTTTAGTGATGGTCACTCTTAGGTTAGTTGGTGTCTTGTGGCCAAATTTCGTGGCAATTTGTCTAGTGGTTTTTGAGTTCTGTTTATTCCACAAACATTACACATTCAAGCAGTGTGGAGTACCATTGATTTTAATAGAAGCAATTTGAGGCCTGGAGTCAGCCCCTGCTCCCTCCGCCCCTTGTATTTCGAGCAGGACTCAAAACAGGCCTCATCCGCATCCACACTGTGCGATTGCTGCGGTTTGAACCCAACTGAAGGACCAAGGCTGCATGCTATGGAATCCTGGGCGGTGCGGGTTCACGGTGTCCCTCTGCCTCTTCCCTCCCCATGGCGTGCCCTCCTCACTCACCCTCCATGGTCTCCCTCACAGCGTTCAAACTGGCAGCGGGACTCGCCATGGCGGAAGAGCAAGGGACGCGGGCGAAAGATCCCACACTAAACAGGGCTGCCGCGGCTTCACAGCTGGCGGCGCCCTCTGACCCGGATGCAGAACGAAGAGGCGCGGAGAGCACACAGGCACTGTACGTTCTGCGGGCGAGACCACTCTCGAGGACGGGGGGGGGGAGAATGAGAGATGGATGTCGAAAAGGGAAGGGGCGTTTATCTCTATAGACAACTAGACCTCGTCTAAGTTTAGTCCGAAACGTGATTTGTTTCCTCGCCAACGCTAAACAGTGCAAAACAACATAGTGAAACTTGGTTCAGTCCGCTTTCAATTAGGCCCCGGAAGTGTAGGTTCTCCACCACTTGCTCCGACAGGCGGCCCACCTCTTTGCTGAGGCCGCACGCGCGGCCCGTGATTCGTTAAGCGTCACGCTCATCCCCGCTTCCTCAAGTCCTGTTGACCAATAGAAATGCAATTTCTTTTGAATGAGGCCCCGCCCCTCGGAACCTCCTCAGTGCCCTTTACTTTCCTGAACAGGTCGGTAAGCATAGGCTCGTTCAAATGTACATTGAAAAAAAAGCTCCCGCTCTGAGCCCTGATTGGCTGAGCCCGTGACAGTGGTCCGCGCTGATTGGCTGCCAGGGGAATTAAAGAGCTGGGGGAAGAGGCAGAAGCTTGGAAGGAGCGGAGTTTGAATGAACAGGAAGGTGGGCCGCAGAAGTTGTCGCTGGAGCTGTAGGTAAAACGCTCTCTCGGGCCTTCGCAAGGACCTCATATTGCTAATAATTCTTAATTACTGTTAATGATAGGTTTTTTTGAATATTGATATAATGATAATGCTCCATTTTCTATAGGAAAAAATGGGTTCCCAAGGGTTTAACTGACAAGTATCCACTATTGGAATAATAACAAGGTATTAAATATCATTGAGCATTACGTTATGTACAATCAATGAATGTAAATTCCAGATGAGCACTTACAAATCACAATCAATCTGTTGCATTCACAGTATGATACATAGTAGTTGCATTCACAATGTAGTAAATTTCCTTGTTTATTTTCTTAATTTTTCCTGTAATATTGTGTCCAATTCTGGGCACCACAATTGAAGAGAGATATTGACAAGCTGGAATGTGTCCAGAGGAGGGCAACTAAAATGATCAAGGGTCTGGAGAATAAGCCCTATGAGGAGCGGCTTAAAGAGCTGGGCATGTTTAGCCTGAAGAAGAGAAGGCTGAGAGGAGACATGATAACCATGTATAAATGTGTGAGAGGAAGTCACAGGGATGAGGGAGCAAGCTTGTTTCCCTGCTGCCCTGGAGACTAGGACGAGGAACAATGGCTTCAAACTACAAGAAAGGAGATTCCATCTGAACTTTAGGAAGAACTTTCTGACTGTGAGAGCCGTTCAGCAGTGGAACTCTCTGCCTCGGAGTGTGGTGGAGGCATCTTCTTTGGAAGCTTTTAAGCAGAGGCTGGATGGCCATCTGTCGGGGGTGCTTTGAATGCAATTTTCCTGCTTCTTGGCAGGGGGTTGGACTGGATGGCCCACGAGGTCTCTTCCAACTCTATGATTCTAGGACAAGTACACTCCTAGTCCATAACCGGTTTGCACTACTACATAAGAGTCTTTGTCTGGTGGTAGGGTCTGTAAGTGTTACGTGACATTAATACAATTGTATAAAGTGTTTTCTGACATAGTAAGATCAACTAATATTAATACATACTACTTACTCTTATTATTTAGTGCAAAAAATTGAAAGTTGTGGTCAATTATCTGTGAATAATTATTTCATAGATAGTATGGAACCTGGTGCCCCCCTGTCTGTGGAATACACTCCTTAACGAAATCAGGTCAGCCCGCTCCTCTCCTGTCCTTCAGGAGGATATTTATTTATTTATTTACAACATTTCAACCCCCGAGGGGGGACTCAGAGTGGCTAACACTGGCAACAATTTGATGCCGCAAATATCACAATATGACAACAATATAAAATGGTAAATACACAGTCGATTGAAAACAATAACATTAGTTATACTATCATATAGTCATTTCCATTATTTTAACAATCGCATGGTCCAGTGCAATGTTCATGGCTGTGGGAACAAGCTTTCGAGCAGCAGTAACGAATAAAAAGAAATCATGTGATTGACAATGGATGGATTTTGAATTATGACTCTGGACTTGGACTTGGATTTGTCTCTTTTAAATGGTCTTTTTAATTTATGATAATGTTTTAATTAATTTTATTGTGTTTTTATTAATGTTGTTGGCATTCAATGGTTGCTGGTTGTAAGCTGCCCTGAATCCCCCTTCGTATTGACAAGGATGGGATATACATGTCTGAAATAAATAAATATTCTCCTGAAACAAGCAGGGTGTATGGGTGCAAAGTGGGCTCCAAAACACCTGTCACCAACAAGAGAGTTTCCTGTGGGAAGGATATTTAAAAAACTGCTCCTCTAAATTCTAAGGTAGTTGTGATGTCTAATCCAAGCAATTTTCTCATTTCTTTTTAACTACAGCTGAGTGAGATGGCTGATGAGAAAGAAGTAAACATGCAGATTACTCCAGAGACTCCTGGGCAACTTAGGATCTATAACCCCTTTGAAAGTCCGAGTGATTATAGCCACCTACAGGAGCCCATTGTGTCCAGCCCAACAGTTTTTAAATCCACAAAATCAGCGGTAAGATTTGCTATTGGTTGTGTGGGATTACATACATGCCATGCATATCAGAAACAATATACACAATGCTTATAAGTCTTGATTTTGAAGAAACTTGGGAGCTTGCTTTCTTACATTGTTCTGTAAGCAAAAGTTGAACAAGTCACCTACGTTAAGGAAGACTCACAGACCCACCTACTTTTGGACAAGTAATGCACCCAATTTATGCAGTCCACACTTTCATGGGTTAGTACTGGAGAAGCCATGCAAATATGGAAAATCTCCACTTATCTAATTGATCATTTTGGGGGGACAGTGAGGGTCCAGAGAAGGGAAATAGGGCACTTCCACCGCCACACCTCTGTATTCCCCAGGAACTTGCTCGCTCTCCTTGCCTTTTTCCTCTACTTGCCTTCCTCTGTCCCATCCATCAAGGAGTCTGAGAGTCTGACTAGGGAAATAGGTGGAGATCTGAGCCTCTCCTTCCCAAAGCTGGTCATAGTGGGAAAGAGGCCGGAGGGGGGGGGGCAATAAGTGGGGAACTGCTAATCTCCTTCTGGGGGCAGGTGAAAATGTAGGAACAAGGAGGGAGGAGGCTCTCCCAAAAGTATTTTCACTGCAGTGACTGGTGCCTCCACCTAAGCTCTGGCTGCAGGCACAAAGACAGGAAGAAGGGAGGTTGAGAAGGAGGCTAGCTGAGGCTCAGTTTCCCACCTGTTGTCCCAGCCATTCTCCTGGACTCTTCCCCACTGTGATTGGCCTCAGTCTTTCAAAAGGGAGGAGAGAGGCTTCAGAGGAGCTTTGGCAAACCTGCAAATAATAACATCTGATTGTCAAACCCATGAATGTGGGGGTTGACTTAAGAATCATAGAGCTGAAAGAGACCAAAATTAATCAAACCCAGATTGGTTTGGAAAATCTATTTTAAATATTAATTTAAGAAGCTTCCAGGAGCCCCCTTTTCACCAGAAAAAAGGGTGAACTGTGAATCTGGATGGCTCAAGAGGTACTGTTACATTCTAGAAGGGTGCCCATCATTCACTCCCAGCATAGAGAAACCATATTTTAGTTTTTCAGATCAGTGTGTTATCAGTATCAAGGCTGCAGAAGAGAAAAATGTCCCTTATTTCTGACTTCCATATCCACTGACGTCCTCGAGATACCCACCCTTTTCTTTTTTGTATTTCTACAGATATAAGTGTTCTGTTGTGAGTTTTTCAGGCTGTATGGCCATGTTCTTGAAACATTCTTTCCTGACGTTTGGCCCACATCTATGGCAGGCACCCTCAGAGATTGTGAGGTTTGTTGGAAACAAGGCAAGTGGGGGTTATATATCTGTGGAATGTCCAGGGTGGGAAAAAGAACTCTTGGCTGTTTGAGGCAAGTGTGAATGCTGTAATTGATCACCTTGATTAGCACTGAAGAGCCTTGCAGCTTCAAGGCTTGGGTGCATCCTGCCTGGAGAAATCCTTTGTTGGGAGGTGATTAACTGGCTCTGATTGTTTCTTGTCTGGAATTTCCCTGTTTTTCAGTATTGTTCTTTCTTTACTGTCCTGATTCTAGAGTTTTTTTTAATACTGGTAACCAGACTATGTTCATATTCATGTTATCCTCCTTTCTCTTTAAATTGTTCACATGCTGGTGAATTTCAATGGCTTCCCACTGTAGTCTGATGTAGGCTTTATGTTGAAATTGTCCACATGCTTGTGGATTGCAATGGCTTCTCTGTGTAGTCTGACATGGTGGTTGTTAGAGTGGTCCAGCATTTCTGTGTTCTCAAATAATATGCTATGTTCAGGTTGGTTCATCAGGTGCTTTGCTGTGGCTGACTCCTCTGAAGTAGTCTGCAGTGCCCTTTGTGTTTCTTGATTCGTGTTTGGGCAGTGCTGCATTTGGTGGCCCCTGCTTTTTCTGAAGGCCATTAAATGCTAATCAAGGTGATTAATTACAACATTCAAACTTGCCTCCAACAGACAGGAGTTCTTTCTCCAACCCTGGTCCTTCCACAGGTATATAAACCTCCCTTGCCTAGTTTCCTATATACCTCACAGCCTCTGAGGATACCTGCCATAGATGTGAGTGAAACATCAGGAAATAATGCTTCTGGATCATGGCCATGCAGCCCGGGAAACTCACAGCACCCCAGTTATTCTGACCATGAAAGCCTTTGACAACGCATATAACTCTTGTTGTTCTCCTTCTCATATAGACTCCTGGGAAATTCAGATGGTCTATAGATAAGCTTGCTTTAATCAATCCTGTGGAAATTGACTCTGAAGAAATATGTCGTCAAGCACTGTATTTAAGTCAAGCCAGGTTTGTTGATTTCTATTTCATACAGTAAACTGAACCCATGATCAGAGCAAAGTAGCAAATTATCATTTTACATTGTTTCATAAGCTCATCAGCCCATGTATCCCTTGTTCACCCGGATTACAGAGGAGCCTTTGTTTATTGCAGTTAAACTAACAATATTGTTTCACTTTGTGTTTCATTCATACTTTGCAGAATAGATGCAGAGATGGAAGAAAAAAGACAAAAAGCAATCGAAGAGGTAACTATCAGTACTATGTATCTTTTAAATTAAATATCTTAAAGTTACAGCGATATCGCAGTTCACATTTCTCTCCTAAGAAATGGTGTTAAGCAATCAAAGTCCTATTTGCACCAACTGCTCTATGCAATATAAACTGGAAGGCAGAAATGTATGATATGTGTGTGTGTCGGGGAGGAAGGATTATGGTAGAAATGTCCCAATATTTTTTAAAGCTAAGCTCCCTGCGCATAAGAAGTGAAGTTGTAGGAGAATGGGAATCTCCATGCCACCACTACAAGGTCGCTGGGTTAATATAGTTCCTCTACGTGCAATCCAGAAGTTTTCTTGTGTGCCAAACTATTCAAATAAAGGCAAGGAACCTGTGGCCTTCCAAATGATATTGAGCCCCGAAATACCTTCATTCTCCACTCCTAGTCTGAAGGGCAGGTGTTTGGCACAGGGTGTATTGAGTTCTGTGTTGGGGCTGCGCTTTAGATACATATGCGACAAAGAGATAGCTTTCACTAGTCATGGTTAACTGATGATGGCTTGAAGAAGAAAAAAAGAGTTAGATCCCTTTACCTTCATCCTTGATCTTTGAAGTGTGAATGTTCATTTAATTTTGGTTGTTGTCTGTCTTCAAGTCATTTCTATCGTATGTCAAATTTGGGTCGGAGCAAGTTTGCCTTTGAGGATAAGATTGTGGCTCATCCTGGGTCATGTAATATGTTTCCATGACTGAATGGGATTCAAACAGTGGGCTCCCAATTTCCTATTGCAACATTTAAACCTCTACTGGATCATTAAAACACTACACCATGCAGGCTCGTGCTAGTTCCAGTTGAAAACTAGTTCACAACACATCCATGTTAATCTTATACAAAAATATTGGTATCTTTATTGAAGGAGGTTGTATATATTGAATTGTGCATTCTTTATATTTTTCTTTTTAGTTCTTTACTAAAAGCGTCATTGTTCCATCTCCATGGATAGATCACAGTGGGAAACAGGTTTCTCAACTTAATTCAACGAACTGTAAGTTTTTTCTGTTGTCAAAGGCTTTCATGGCTGGAATCACTGGGTTGCTGTGAGTTTTCCGGGCTGTATGGCTATCTTCCAGAAGCATTCTCTCCTGATGTTTTGCCCACATTAATGGCAGGCAATCCTCAGAGTTTGAGAGGTTTGTGGGAAACAAGGTAAGTGGGGTTTATATATCTGTTAAATGTCCAGGATGGGAGAAAGAACTCTTGCCTGTTTGAGGCTAGTGTGAATACTGCAATTGGCTACCTTGATTACTATTGAATAGACTTGCAGATTCAAGGCTTGAGTGCTTCCTGCCTGGGGGAATCCTCTGTTGGGAAGTGTTAGCTGGCCCTAATTGTTTCTTTTCTGGAATGCCTCTGTTTTTTGCGTGTTCCTCTTTCTTTACTGTGTCTTGATTTTAGAGTTTTAAATACTGATGGCCAGATTTTGTTCCTTTTCATGGTTTCTTTCTTTCTGTTGAAATTGTCCACATGCTTGTGGATTTCAATGGCTTCTCTGTGTAGTCTAACACTGTAGTTGTTAGAATGGTCCAGCATTTCTGTGTTCTCAAATAATATGCTGTGTCCAGGTTGGTTCATCAGCTGCTCTGCTATGGCTGACTTCTCTGGTTGAAGTAGTCAGCAGTGCCTTTCATGTTCCTTGATTCATGTTTGGGCATTGCGTTTGGATCCCTCTTGTCCTTTGCTGAATGTAGCATTTGTTGGATTTCCTTGATGGGTCTGTAGATAGTTTGTATGTTGTGTTTCCTCATCAGTTTCCCTATGCGGTTAGTGGTTCCCTTCATGTATGGCAAGAACACTTTTCCTCTGGGTGGATCTTTGTCTTGACTCTTGTGGCTTGTTCTCGGTCTTGCAGCTCTTCTAATGTCTGAGGTGCAGTACCATTGGCCTGTAGGGCCCAGTTTAGGTGGTTCAGTTTATCTTGGAGGACGTGGGGTTCACAGATTCGTTTTGCACAGTCTGCCAAGGCTTTAATGGTGCTTCTTTATTGACTTGGGTAATGGTTGGAGTTTTTATGTAGATATCTATCTGTGTGTGTGAGGGGGGGTTCTGTAAATTGTGTGACCCAATTGTTGATCTGGTTTGCGGATGACTAGGACATCTAAAAAAGGTACTTTTCCTTCATTTTCTTTTTCCATGTTGAATGGCATGTTTGGGTGGATGCTCTTAAGATGATCCAGGAACCTGTTTAGTTCCAAATGGTGAAAGTGTCATCCACATATAGTGGGCTTATTTTTCAAAGTGTTCCATGAAGAAATGTGTTATAACCAGGCTGAAAGGGCTGCCCATAGTGACTCCATCTTTCTGTTCATAAAATACATGAGAATCTTGAAATGAGGAACCCATAAGTGGTAACATTTTGCAAAAAATGCCCAAACCTGGATCACTGGGCAACACACATTTTGGTGCCTCAAATATTCGACCTCTTGCTGGGTCTGTTTGACCTGTTGATTCCAAAACATGGCACTAGTTTTCCTGCATCAGCTCCAGTTTTCGAGATACAGAACATATGGCACCTACAAGTCGCCACCTGCACACCCCTAGTAAACCACGATAACCTTCTCTATGAACAAAACGATGTTGTGGTCTATCCTATGCTATTTTTTTTGAATCAGTGCTCCAAATACTCCCAGGAATAGGCCTAAAAACCAAGACACCAAGAATTTGTTTTTGGTTAGGTTGTGTATTGGGTACTGAGCTTTGACCGTGCCAAAATCTTAATTACCTCTGCTCAAATAGTGTTCCATGGTCCAAAAAAGCTACAAAACTTAGTTATGAAGTATACTAATAATACTTATAAGTTTCCCATTTTCATATCTATTTTCTAATAGGATAGTGCTAAATAGTTCCTCACCAGCAGAGACAAAATCAGGTGCTTTTTAAATGATTTTTTTAAAAAAGGGAAATGTTAGGAATATTTTCAAATTGCTCACAGGGAGTGTCAATAGAAGTGAGGCTGAAACAGATTGCTCAGCAGCCATCTATTTTACTTGTCTT